GACATTGGCCTACAGGAGTTTTTTATTTATTTATTTATTTTTTTAGTTTTTTATTTGAATTTTTTTGGTTTTGTTATTTTTTTTAAATACGTGACATACAAGAGTTGTTTTTTTTTAAATACAGCGTAAATACCATTTTTAAAGACAAAGTGTTCATTCCTCTATTTACTTGAAACAAATCTACTTGAAAATAACTTTGTGATACAAGTTTCAAGATTGGATTTTATGTTTCCAGTTTTGTTAGTCGATTTTTTAGAATTCTGGTTTCATTTAAAGTTTTTGTGATTGTAAATTGGTTCAAGATTTCTTATCGTCTAAAAAAAGATTCATACACTCACATGTTATAAGCAAGACTGACCCTAGCAGACTATTACTGTCGACCATCCAGAATGTTAGCAGAGAAACAGAGAGGAACAGAGAAGATTTCATCTTCTTACTTTTGTAGGCTATTAACTTTAAGCTGAGAAAAAAAGTGCGTTAAGGATTTTTTAACACAGATTCACATTTTGATCAAAGTTTAAAACCAAAGTTCGTAGAAGCTTTTATGTAATTAAGTTCTGAAAAGGAGAAAGTAATAAATTTTCTTTAAATTTATGAAATACATGATTTGTTTACTTTGACTAGCTCACTGAAAAGTTATTTTAAACAGTACGGATATTCAATAGGGCAGATAAGTGGTACCAAATATTAGATGAAAGAGAAGTGCAGACTAAATTTCAAATATTTCAAATTAAAGTTGGAAATAGTTTGCCTAAACAAAGCTATACGACTAAATAGTAACAGAGATGTTTTACCTTACGAAATTCGTTACCTGTACCTGTACTGTATTTGGAAAGCACATACAGTTCAGCTTACATTAAGTGCGCGAGTTTGATATTAAAATAAACAATTCGGTTTTAAGACAGGCTTGGTGAACTAGTCGTAAATTTCTGATTTAGCCTGATGGATTTTATTGTTCGGTAACAGGAGGGTATTAATGTAAACAAAATATTAATGTAAAACGTAAATTGCTTGGAGAGTCTTAACAGGTAGAATCTAATTGGGTCTAAACAGTGCTTCTCAAAGTATGTGATATCATTTCCTGGGTAAGGGAGAGGGTAGTGTTGGTCGAGGGTTGATACGACAGACACCAGGGGACTGTACAAACCAAGGGGCAGGTAAGTTTTTTGCATGAACAGACAATCGTCCTTTTAAGACGATCTGGATTTTAGTCACACAAGCGTATGTTAAAATCTTTCAGAACCTAATGTGTATAGCGGGAGTTTGGAATCGATTTTCGATAAATCTTGACGTAACATCTTCCTCAGTCACAATACCCTAGATTAGCTTACTGTTATGTATGTATGTTGTCTGTCTTTTTGTCTGTCTGTCTTAACATAGCTTAATACATAACACAATTTCAAATATAAGAATTGTATCGTAACCCTTCGCTTCTATTACCTTTCAGCGATTTATGGTAAACAGAAGTAGTAATTTATTCTATTTCAGGTTTCTCAAAGCTTTTATAATTTTCAATCACATTTTCATCAAGGAGAATATTTTAAGAATAGCCACAATTGTCTCTCTACAACACACGAGTGGTTTTGTCACACTTACCTTCACTGTCGTTATCTCATTCCACTGGAATTACCATTGTAATTGTTTTATCCGAATAGAAGAGAGAGTTTAGGGGAACCCTTGTCCTTTTGTTATCGCCATTTTAGTGCAAACAGCAACCCTAAAAACTGCAAGAAAAGCTGATATACAAGTAGCTACAAATAAGTGAGAATTGTCGAAATATTGAAAAAGATAAACAAAAAAGTTACACCTTTCTAAAAACGCATGTAAAATAATCCTGGCCTTAAACCAGTAAATCTACAGCACGATTTAAATGTTTTCTTTTTAAAAAATAACATAATCGTTTTAAGTAATTGAAATATTGAAGTCCGTCTTATCGTAAAATTATTAATGGGTTTCGCAAGCCGCAAAATACGGGTTACGACAAGCCGCAAAACGCGGCTCATGGGACGGAAGGAGAGGAACACCAAACAACATTAAAAAATAGGTGCATTTGCTTACAATGGCATCTAGTATGTTTATTTTTGTTTTTAAACCTATTCTAGGCATATGTTTAAAATTCGATTTCAAATACTTATTCTGTAAATTGTTACTGTTTTTTAAAAAAAAAAATTAAAAAAAAAAACACATTTAGGGGAAATAACTCAAGATATTTGATCCTATTTCTCTAACTAGGTTATATTCCTTTAAGAAAATGAAACATTTCAAATTTCACAGTAATGTAAATATGACTATCAAACTATTAACCTGAAGACCTCTGACTTCGTAAATATGTTGATCCAGAGCTATTAGGAAATGGTAAACTTTAAACTGACAAAAACAATAAGCACTGATGGTAGTATAGGCTTGAAAAGCTGATTCTAAATGGTTCTATATAGTTGTTGCCAGAATTTACAACAAAAATTGAGCAAGCCGATGATGAAAACTGTAATACTAAAGCGAACACACAACTGACGCTATAAATTACGTGTCTGAGGCAAAAAAAAAATATAACATATGTGAAGTAATCACCAAATGACTTCCGATTTATTCAGGCTAGAAATATTCAAATAAATAATTACTAATAATATGATAGTAATTTAGCAAACAGTTTTATTTTTAATTTGGATTAGTAGAGTCAGGGTGTAGTGGTGATAAGGAATGTTGTATGATTCAGTAAGATTGACTTACTTGACTTAGTCCTCTTTGCTCCTTATGGAACATAGGGCCTCCACCATTTCCTTCCATTTCTACCTATCCCCGGCTATTTATTTTGTCAACTCCCAAGACATCCCTGTTGGCTTCAGTTCTTCAAGAAGACTCCGCCTCCAGGTTTGTCTTGGGCGCCCTCTTTTCCGCTTTCCCTGAGGGTTCCACTCAAGCGCTTGGCGTGTAACATTTGGGTGAGCCTTTCGCAGTGTGTGACCCACCCAGCGCCACTTCCTCCTTCTTATTTGCACACCCAAAGGCTCCTGCCTGGCTTTCCACCACAGTTCTATGTTCGGCACTTTGTCCTGTCATCTCAGTTTCAATATCTGTCTAAGGCATCTATTCATGAAGGTCTGTATCTTTCAGTAAGATTACCGAGACTTTTAAGCCTCTTGTCTACTATTGTGTAATGTTTAAAAAAAAAAAAAACTTCATCAGTTTCAATATGCTTGGCTAGGAGCTGTATTGAGTTAGGTTCTCTTGTGATTTTATCCTCTACTGTAGAGACTGGTTATAAACCTTTTAATAGCTTCCATTATTTCCTGTTCAAAATGGATCCTTTCTTCGTTTCAGTGTGTATGCCCGACTTAGCGCATGTTTGTAAAGTAATTTTATTTTTATGACTCTGTTTGATATACCTCGACACTACACGACGTTCAAAACCCCGACGACAAAGCAACAAGACCAACTGCACTACATATTTTGTATTAGACGATATGCAGTAGCTCGATAATAAACCGATGTATCAATTTGTAGAATGCAAAGTTGTGTTAGAACCAAGTCCTTTGAAAATTTACATTGAATTTCAACACCTGTGTACTAATTAATTACATTGCCATTACAGATTTTAATGATAAATTATCTGCAAATTGCATAGGTAAACTCTACTTCATCCACCGTAATGCAGATACATGAGGATATCTTTGGATAATGTTGTGGAGTGCCTGTCATACTATTGGGGGAGGTGAGGTGGTCCTTCCTAATCGGAAATACTCATATCGTTAAAGCATTATATAACATCCTATCACACGATTAAAAAACATAAACCGTTTGTTTTAAAATGTTTAATTTAACCGTGATGAACATGACATAATTTTGTGTGTGTGTAAAAGAACAAATATGAGACAAGAATCACTTTAACACAGCGCGTGCGTACAAAACTCAAAGTAAACAAATTTTATATCACGTTTATTTATCGGTCAGCAGGTAAACTAGTTGAACACATGGACTTGTAGTAGCCCACACAGGTGTAAGTGGCCTAGGATGTTGATCAAACTATGGCGCCATTACATCGCTGCTCGAGACACTCCTTTTGTCCGTTCTGGCACCAGCAGAAGCCACAGTCGTTCTCGTCCCTGGAGTTGTACGTCATCATCCCGTGGTGGGGTATAGTCTTGTCACCAACACTAAGATACAAACAGCCGTGGAGGTATTTTGAATACATACATAAATTATATGTGTGTGTGTGCGTGTTTATGGTACTAGTGGGTATCTCACTTAAAAACGGAGGTAATAGAGCTGGTAAGACTATCTGCACATTTGTAAGCACACATTTTCTCGATGACAACAGACGTTTGATACCAGCACCGTTGATTATTTGTTGACACAACACAGCGGGTCTTGGAGGTGATGTCATGTCTACATACTGAGGGGTGACGTCATGTCTACATACTGAGGGGTGACGTCATGTCTACATACTGAGGGGTGACGTCATGTCTACATACTGAGGGGTGACGTCATGTCTACATACTGAGGGGTGACGTCATGTCTACATACTGAGGGGTGACGTCATGTCTACATACTGAGGGGTGACGTCATGTCTACATACTGAGGGGTGACGTCATGTCTACATACTGAGGGGTGACGTCATGTCTACATACTGAGGGGTGACGCCATGTCTTCATACTGAGAGTAACGTTATGTTTACATACTGAGGGGTGACGCTCAGGGGCGTAGCGACCCTTCCCGGCGCCCGCCCGGGGACAAAACTTTCGATTTACACACCCCCCCCCTCGAACTTTTGATTTGCATTCCCCCTCAAACTTTCGATTTGCAACCCCCACTCAAACTTTCAATTTGTTTTTCCAACCCATTTTGGCGCCCCCCATAAGGTCGGCGCCCGGGGACATGTGTCCCCCCGCTCCCCCCCCCCCCCCACTCGCTACGCCTCTGGTGACGCTAATGTCGTGTTTAATGAGAGGTGACGTCATGTCGTGTTTACTGACTGGGGTGACGTCATGTCGTGTTTACTAAAGTCCATGTAGGACGAGTAACACTTTACGAGTAACTTTACTCTCACGTATTGAACACTAAATGCTGTAATAAAACTTCACCGTGAATTACCAAACAAGATCTGAACACTGAACTATTGATTTGGAATTCAACCCTAACTCATGAAGCTAAACTTAACAATAACCCACTAAATCAAAATTAACTATTTAACTATTAAATTAACTTAAACCAACCATATGACCGTAATTTGTGGGTATTTCTCACCTTGTACTTCAAACTAAGAAGGAAAAACTAAAACTTTGCCAAGTCTTATGGGGCTAAACTTTATAGTGACCGAAAAAGAATGAAATTTAATTAATCATGACCTAACCCTTGACTTAACCCATGACTTAACCCTGACTTAACCCTAACTTAACCCTGCCCTAACACTGACTTAACCTGTAACCTAATCCTGATTTAACCCCTGACCTAACACTGACCTGCAGCTGGCCTTGACGACAGTGCACTTTTTCCCGCCACATCCGTTGTCACAGCACTTGCTGCTAGTGTCACAGTCACTGTCTGATGTGCAGGTGCTGGTGCAGTCAGCACCCGCTGCACCTGTGACGGTAGGGCAAGCTGTGGGACATACAGAGAGGTTTCAACTTACGAGGTCTAAGGTTGATGATACGAGTTTGATGACACTAGTTTATTGATACAAGTTTGATGATACACGTTTCATAGTAAAAGTTTGATAATACAAGTTAGATATTTTATTACGTGATTTGTATGATTCAATTAAACATAGATTCCACTTTGACACAAATCAAGTTTTAAAATTAAGAAAAAAAAACACTTTGATAACCAGTTGTTCTAAAACTTACAAGTTTGATGATATAAGTTAGATGATACAAGTTTGACGATACAAGTTTGATGATACATGTTTGGTGATACACGTTTGATGATACACATCTTACACGTTTGATGATACAAGTTTGGTGATACAAGTTTGATGATACACGTTTCATTGTTGAAGTTTGATGATAAAAGCTGATAATACAAGTTTGATAATACAAGTTTGATTATACAAGTTCTAATCTGGGTTCATTTCAGTAGAACCTACCTGATTCCGACCCAGCTCTGATGGGTACCTAACTCAAGTAAATGAAAGTAAAGGTGGCTGGGCATTGAACTGACTATACCATCCCTTCATATGCCGTGGTTACAGGTGACCTCTACTTAACTGGCCCTATAGACCTTCAGGTTTGAAAGGGAACTTTACTTTTACTTTTGATAATACAATTTTGATCATACAATTCTCATATTACATGTTTAACGTTACAAGTCGTATGTTTAAAGTTCCATAATCGAAGAATGATGTACACGTTTTATTACTCAGGTTTCACGGTACAAATTTTGTGATACAAGTATTATGAAATTATTTTTATGATACAAATTTCATTATACAAATCAAGTAATAAAAGATGTGTTTTATGATACGATTTTCCTGTTACAAATCATATAAGAGAACATTGACATTTTCGGATACAAGCAGTGTTTTTTCCAGACTTTTTTCTCCCGGGGGGGGGGGGGGGCACATGTTATTTTCGGCAAGGGGGGCAGTCAAGTTTTTTCGGGGGGGGGGGGGGTCGGACACTAGTAAAAGTATATGTTTACTATATAAATTCCATCTTTTTCGGGGGCGGGGGGGGGGGGGGGTAGACTTCCTTCGCAACCTTGCCTTGAAGAAACTCTGGATACAAGTTTCATGGTTTTTCATGTTTCATACATCCAAACACAGTAAAACTTAAAAGCAAGAACTCACTTGTTGTGAGGAGGTACGACCCTTGCACGCTGTCGGGAGAGAACATCCATACAGCTATTACAGAGGCTAACAGGAGTACTGTAGCTTTCATCTTCTCACTCTCGTAGTCAAGAATAAGTCAACTGAGTTCGAAACACAGAAGTTTGCTTGGAGAAATATTAACACGAGCTCGTTGTATTGTCAAAGTTAAAATAATTAAGTAAAATTAATCATACGGTAATCACACAATTTGATCACTATCCTATGCAAAATATGTTAGAAATAGATTCCACTTTGACACAAATCAAGCTTTAAAAATAAAATAAAAAACACTTTGATAACCAGTTGTTCTAAATTTTAAATCTTACGATGCTTTCAACTACACACATTTATCGTGATTATAAAATGTGCTCTAACATTATTTGGATATATATATATATATATATATATATATATATATATATATATATATATATATATATATATATATATATATATATATATATATATACTTAAAAAAATCAATTTAATTTTAAGGAATAAACATGTGCATGCATATCTTCTATATATAAACTGTTAATGTTAATTAGATGATTTAATACGAAAAAATGTTGTTCAAATTGCATTCGGATTGCAAATGAAACAAACATTTTACACGGATGGAGGTGGGGGGGGGGGGCGAAATATCAAATGAGATTTTTATAAATAAGGAAAAGGTAGCTCATTGCACCATGAACACCAGGCCATATTCAGTACATGATTCTGGGTAAATGGGTAAATACGGTGAATGTGCACAGCACTAGTAGCTGTTGTAAGTAATCGATACATTGTAACAAACCAACATACGATCAATAACTAGACGAAACAAAAGAGCTACAAGGATATGTCGGCTTATTCAGCCCTTAACCTATAGCTATGTTGGTATGCGTTGTTTCTGAAATTATCACAATGAAATGAATTTCAAAAGTATTTTATTTTAGTTTGATCACTCAAACTTTTTATGAGATACTTACACAAAATTGTATTATATTCTCTATATGAAATGTGATATCAAGTGTAAATATTGTTTGTATATTGTAGTTTTTTTTAGACATGTTGGTATGCGTTGTTTCAGAAAGTATTATAATGAAATGAATTTTTGTTTTTAGTTTGATCACTCAAACTTTTTATGAAATACTTACACAAAATTGTATTATATTCTCTATATGAAATGTGATATCAAGTGTAAATATTGTTTGTGTATTGTAGTTTTTTTAGGCTTAGATAGAAATTTTTAGACTTCAAGTTATCACAATAACAAACTCGTTAGATATTTGTGAGTTATGTCCCTTTGGCGATGTTGTTTTGTTGACCTACTTAAATTAGTCCACCATGTTACACATATAGACAAACAGATCCAACCATTCTAGATTGTAGCGTTGCTCTGTGCTGTTAACAACTAACTAATTAAATAAAGATGGGACGACGTGATCTAACAGGTAGAGCATTAGGCTGCTGAACTGAAAGTCTCGAGTTCGAATCCGGGTTATAGGTCATTATTATGTGCCTGAGTTACTTTAGCGGCTGGGCATTTGCTGACCACACCTTCCTTTAGTATGCCGAGGTCAAGAAAAATATGAACTATTCTTCATCTACCCAATAAATCAACAGGTCTAAAGAGGATCCTTTACTTAACATTGCCAAATAAATAAAGGTATATTCTGTATCGCTGAAAGTTCACAAATACAAAAAAATAATAGTGTTTTTACGTACTTTTTTTTAACAATGCGAGTAAACGAAGTCAAGACACACATAAATAGCGAACACTGTATAAAGTAACTCACCAGATGCGTGTGATATTATGTAGTATGAGTACAGTGGGCCTTGGCCTTATATAAGCAGGGTTCATGTAATGATGGCTGTAAAGTCGGGCTTCACATAACGACAGCTCTACTGCAAGCATACACATAATGCTTGTTGTTGTACGGTAACACGTGCTGTGACCAGATGTCCGCATGTGATTCACGCCTGACATTTAGATGACATTTACTCGCAAAGGGAGATCACCTCTTTGATTATTTGTTAATAGGTTAATAGAAAAATTGTGTCATTAGCGGTCTATTTCTACTTTTAATAATATACAACCTGTGTGTGACATAATTTTTTTTTTAATTTTAAAATAATTAATTTGGTAGAAAACTAAAATCAACAAAAACGATTGTAATTTTATTACAGATGTAGTTGATACCATTTAAATGAACATTACCAATAGATACGCTATTTTCTCTAACATGTAGATTGGGAGAATAGCAACTGGGAGACAAATATTTCAATGTTTTAAATGGGCGGTTACCAAGCGGGCGATAACTAAAAAACGATATAGGCCTACTTTCTTTAATAAAAGTTTTGGTCGCTCATGAGACCTTTTTCATATTTTAGCAACAATAACTTTTATCAAACAAAGAAAATTGGTTTTATTTTCTTATTTTGCGTGTATTTAAAAGCATGTCTCTATAGGTTGTTATATGTGTTTATTAAGCACTTTTTTTGCTACTACTGTCGTGTAAAAGTGAAAGAACACTGATGTGACTCCGTTTCTATTGTGAGTCGTTAATTTATGTTGTCGACAGGGCAGTGAGTTGCACGTAGCAACTGAAATAATCTTCGCTTGTGGACTACAAAGAATTGGTAATAAGGTAATTAACAGCTAATTGCAATGTTTATGAACCAATTCCGTGTTAGTGAAAGTGGGTTTAGTAGAGTGCGATATCCTGCAATAGGGGTGTAGAGATGGAAATAACACGTAGCTAGCTATTGACTACAAAATTTAGATAACAGTAGGAGACATAATTTATAACGCAAAAGTTCGATATAATTATGCCACATTTCTGAAAAATAATGGTTCATGCACGTTTCAGATTCCCTATTAAGAACAGCGTTAAAAAATTAAAATTAGTTTTATGTTCTAAAATAAAATTTAAAATCAACTACTTTATTATGTTATTAAAAGAATGGCAACAATGAGTATGCTCTACCAAACATATGTTGAAACGCTTGCTATAGCATTTAACCTATGAAGAAACGTCATTGTATGAATTGGTATTTTGAAGCTTTGCTGTCATGGTTCTACTACACTACAGTAACACACTACATATGAAAGGACTTTCCTAAATGTGTAGAGCCTTAGTTTTCTAAGGTTACGTTATTTTTGTGAACTCCTATTCAAGGTCAACTAATAAAGACGCATATTTCTCAAAGCACGTGAACAAATACTGTCAAATAATGATAGTGGTCAACTGTTTTATATTCTTACATGCTCAATGCAGCTGCTGTGGATACTTAGTGTCTCTGCTGTGAGTACTCAGTGCCATTGGTGTAAGTATTCACTGCTATTGTTGATGGTACCCAATGTTTCAGCTTTTGGTACTACGTGCTACTGCTGTTGAACTCGAATGATACTGCTATGAATTACCAATGACAGTGCTGTAGCTACATATTGCCACTGCTATGCGTACTCAGTACTTAAACAGTGGGTACTGAGTGTTGAAGCGATGTGTAGAGAGTGCTCAAGCTGTGGGTACTCATTGTTGAAGCTGTGGGTACTCAGTGTTACTGTAGTCGGTTCTTGGTGTCACAGCTGTGGGTACTCAGCGCTGGCGCTGTTGCTAATCGATAACGTTGCTGTGGGTACTCAGCCTTAGCAGTGGGTACTCAGTATCACTACTGTGGGTACTTAATGCTGAATTTGTGAGTGCTCAGTATCACTAATGTTGGTACTTAGTGTTAAAGATGTGGGTACGTAATAACACTGCTGTCGGTACTAAATGCCAATATAATGCCACTGACGTAGGTATTCAATAGCACTGCAATTGGTCGTTTTTGTCAGTATTCAACCTTACTGTATTTATTCCGAGGTGTAGGTCAATGCTCAGGGTTATTATTGTCAAGGTCGTTGTGAAAACCTTTCTTTGGTGGTATCCAGGTTAGTGGTCCACCACCTCACTTCCTGTTGTCTATTTATTTTGTCTGTTTTCCTAATAATTTACAATGCTATTTCAAAGCTAAATTCGTTATATTGTACCCAGCAAAATGATCCCTTTATTACAGCATCGCTCTCTCTTCATATGCCAATGTACATGAAACAGGTGAACTCTACTTCACCATCCACATGGACCGTAACGCTCTAAAGTGCACGTTTATATTTAGGCGAAGACTATATTGTAAATCCTTTACTTATTTATAATCATACTTGAATATACCTGCTTGGCACCCATTTACAATTTTATGTCTTATTGCCGGATGTCGCGAAAACTAGACAAACCGTGATCATAAAATATTTTATTTATATTATTTATAAGATAATTTATTCTCATATGTGATTTATACTATATATATATATATATATATATATATATATATATATATATATATATATATATATATATATATATATATATATATATATACATATATATAAGTGAATAATATAGCGTTTAGTATTTTTTGTAGCAAGTAGTAATAATCAATGTAAGTAGGCTAAATTCACGAAGTCAATAAAAATTACGATGCGCGTGAGTAAAGAGAGTGTGACGTCATAAATTTCCACTTGACAACGTGACCGTTGGTACAGATACAACCGTTTAGATGTACCCAATACACAACGACCGGCAGCAGTAGGATAAATGTACCTATGCGCATATACTATCCGACAGTCGCGAAAGACTGTCGGCGTTAAGGGGTTAAACCTTTTTTTTGCATAGGATAATGATCAAATTGCGTGTTTACCTTATGATTAATTTTACGTATTTATTTTAAGTTTAACAATACAACAAGCTCGTGTTAAATAATTCTCCAAGCAAACTTCTGTGTTGTGGTCTCGGCTGACTTATTCTTGACTACGAGAGTGAGAAGATGAAAGCTACAGTACTCCTGTTAGCCTCTGTAATGGCTGTATGGATGATCTCCCCTAACAGCGTGCAAGGGTCGTACATTCTCATAAATAGTGAGTTCTTGCTTCTAAGTTTTAGTGTTTTGATAAAAGAAACATGAGAAACTTGTATCCGAAAACGTCTATGTTCTCTTATATGATTTGTATCATGTTATTCGTATCATAAACTTTTATTTTTTTTTTTGTGAATTTTATCATAGATTTTGTATTGAAAAATGTATATCTTTAATTATGTAATTTTTATCATAGAATTTCTATTGAAAAACGTATATCTTTTATTATGTGATTTGTATCCAGAAATTTGTATCATAAAAAAAACTTAATAAAACTTGTATCACGAAATTTGTACCATCTGACAGGAACACTGTCCGACAAAAACACTCGATGTCCAAGTTTGTTCTCAAATTGTTCTTCACGTATTTAATTCTTGAAAAATTCTGTTCACACAGGTATGTTGTTCCAAAATTTGAAAGGTACTTTGATGCAAAAGTTTTACTATTAGGAAAGTCTTCCTTGTTCAAAAACTTATAAAAACCCACCCGCCCTTCTGTGAACATGTCTCTAATGACTTCCAGCTGAAGTTCATCTTTGCAACTGGCCACATTTGCTTCAAATGGGTTTTGAAGCAGTCTAACTTCTTCTGCCTTTAAATACAAGTCAGAAAACCGCTACTAAAAATACAAATGGAGCTCCTGTTTGATCTCGCATGCAAATGACGTGGGGAACTCAGTGGTTACTTCAGCCGTAAAAACATTGCACTGCTGAGAGTGCGTCAAGTTGTTGGCCTGTACTTGTTCCAAACACATGACACAAGTTTGGATCTGAAGGCCTTCAAATGAATGGGTGTATAGATCAGAAACCAGATTTCCCTCTCTTGTAGTTTTAGGTTCAGAAAATTTAAATAACTAGTTATGTCTGCAGCAGAGGCCAATATTTATAACCACTCTTCATCAAACATTAATGGCTGTGGCTTTCCTTTACGTATTTCCTTTCTTAACTTAAATACTCTGCTCAAATATCCCCTCCGGTAACAGTGCCACAGAGGCACCCCCCTCAAACTTTCGATTTGCACCCCCACATGCTTTAAATTTATTTTTCCAACCCATTTTGGCGTCCCCTAAGGTCGGCGCCCGGGGACATATGCCCCCCCCCCTCGCTACGCCTATGCAGTGCCATAATTTTATATAGGGACCCCAGCTCTTCTATTAGTTTATGTCTTTATCCACATCAGAAGCAGTTGAGAGGTGGAACAGTTGTCATGTGACTCATCCATTGTAAATAAATATTGGCGAAACTTGCTTGCATTTTTCGCTATTTTAGTCACAATGTTTTCACCAACGTCTGCTTCACAATAGGCAACGCTATTTGCACCCAAAGCTAAATTTTCAAATTGTTTTGAATTTTCTGGGCAAAGTTCATCAGCCACTTCCAACAAACATTTTTTCCGTGAACAAAAATATCTCCCGGATGAGAGGACCTCGCGGGCCGTAGTTTGGAGACCACTGTTCTATTGCAACACGTGATGTGAACAGATGTCCGCACGTGCTATAAACAGATTTCCGCACGTGGTGTGGACATATGTCCGAGTGTGAATCACGCGTGAAATTTAGATGACAATAGACCAACCCTTATCATTAGATAACTGTGGTTTTCGGGGGTCATCCATAAATGACATCACTTCTATCACTTCTCATCACATAATAACAAGATCCAACATTCAAAAAGACGCCACACCTCAGACGTCTTTTGTCTTTTAAAAACACCGATTTCGGCTGAGCATGGGTCTGACCACACTATCCATTCATATGCTGAGGTTACAAAAACAGGTCAACTCTACTTCACCTGCCAGTGTCTACCCAACTCAGACTTTTTTTTTTAGTCTTTTTAAACTCCGATTTCTTTTACATATTTTAGCGACAATAACTTTTATTAAACAAAGTAAATTAGTTTTATTTTCTTATTTTCAGTGTATTTAAAAGCTTTTCGCTAAAAAGGTTAAGAGCTAACTGTTAACTACAAATCTAAGATAACAGTAT